CTTATAATACTACTCACTAATTTAAGGTCGTGATCGTGCCTTTTCACGGGATCAGATTCTTTGGACTCTTCCAAATTTCCAACAATTATGTTAGAGTCTAAGGAGAGCTTGTCGTATTTAGCAGTGGCTACGTCCTTTCTCACCACTATTGATGCAGCCTGGCTACAGGTGACAGACGTTTGCCTACCATCAATATTACTATATTTCTTCCGACTGCTTATTTTTGTTACCCATTTATCATCTGCCTGCAGTTGCTTCTCAGGGCTGCTGCAGTTTTTGATGGTACAATCAAGATCAGTGTCTGCGCCACCTTCATGGTGAACTTCGCTTACGGTGTTCTCTGGTTCTGAGATGCTGTTTACAGCTTCCGTTTTGTTACCTTTTCGCTTACTAAGACGCTTCGAACGCCTAGTAGGTTTTACTTCCGGGGTAACTGGGATAGTAACCGCCGGTGTGATAACATTCATGATGGCACTTACTGCTTCATCTTCAGACGGGCAGTCCGTGTCACTCTTACTAGCCACGCTATCATCAGGAAGTTCCATGGCTTTAGACAGCAGTTCGTGAGCCTCCCTTATTAAGGTCATCTTTGGGGAGCAACACATTCTGCACATCCAGTGGGATGTTGGAGCAGTACAACGTTTGTATGCAGCTGGACGTAATCCAGTACACATCTTATGATACCACTTTTCACAGTTATTACACTGTATTCCATCATCTACCAAAAAGTAACACTCCGCCCTATTACATTTATGTGGTACTTTTGACATAATGAACTTCTACTGGAAACAGCCAAGACAATTTACCCAATATAGACTATATAAGTGGTTAAAATCAAAACTTAACAGACAAAAGTCAAGTTAAAGTTTTTTTTAAATGTTCTTGAAGTGAATAACACAACAAAACAGCGATTTGTCAAAAACGTGAAATACGTGAAAAAAGCACTCCCTTTCAAACATTGGTAGTACGTGCCCACTAAGTTTCTGATCTATGGCCTTCTGGTTACAAAGCAAGCTCATATAACATTCAGCCACTGGGACTCGATGAATTGACCCAGGAATTCTTAATTCTACAATTCGTGATTTTAGCACGACCATCAACCAATGTCAATGACCGGAAATCCATCCTCACTATAGACTGGATGCATCTAACTGGTCACGACATTGTGTACCAAAAAAATAGCGAACATCAGGTCAATTTTTCAAGAGTTTATTTGTACGGATTTGATTTATTTTTCATGTTTGTGAAAGTCTGAAGTCGGTTGGAAATAACATATTCACACACATATAGGACAAGTGACTTTACATTTGTGCTGAAAATCCAAATTCTCTTCTTTATTCTGTGGAGTGCAGAAGATTTTCGAACTGATTTCAGAGTCGTGAAGTTCTATAAGGCTTATCCAATTGTGGTTTTGACATCGTCATCTGTGACTCTTTTAGTTGAAACGACAATTCGGAGAGAAGTGGATGAAGTAACCACTTTCCATTTTATTCCGCTCATAGTGATTGGTGACAGTTGTTGAATTTAGCTTATCATCGTCATCACCGCCATTTTCTGTGTGTTCAGCTGAGGTCTAGTCTTCACTGCCTGCTTCTTCTTCCACCAGTTTGTTAGTTTCCACTTGAAACTCCTCAAGTTCATCTTACATTAGACATCTAGTGATTAATTTTTAGATTAAATTGTTTTGTCGGGATTTAAATTAATTCCAGCGTATGTTTCGTCACGAACTGACAGTATTTGGAGAGTTGTTCAAAAACCTGGTTTTCAACTGAGGCCTGCCTCTTCTGCTTCAGTTGCCGGCCAGTGTGTTGTACTTCCTAGCACAGTTCGCTTCTTTATTCAGTGTGATGTATGTTGAGCCCAGCTTCTCTTTCGGCTTTCCATATTTGTGTAGGTTCATCTTCTGCCTCACATTCCTCTTTTATTCTCCATTAGCTTCAATGAGTGCGTAGAGAGTTGTCAATGTCCAGTCTCTTCTCTCTTCCTACAACAGTTGTAACCACTTCCTGAGAGTCGCTACACAGAAATCCAATATTCTCTCACACAGGCTTCCTCTGTAATGCTAAGTGGAATTTGCTCGTAATTCGACCACAAACACCGAACAGTGATCAAATTTAAACCTTTTGATATCTTGATTCGAATATTACTATTTCATTTCCTAAGAGGATTGTGAAATCTCTAACGTCAACTCAGGATAACAGACTAAGTATGAGATGTCGAAATGAGTGAAAAATTTGAAAAAGAAGTTTGTCGATAAAAGAGGAAGCGGAGGAAAGAAAGAGAAATGAGATTGAAAGTTGGAGTTTCGATAATCATTGGTTCGATGGACGGATTTTTGACTTTACTGTACACACTGGTGAAGAAAGCAGTTAGATACAGAGATCAGGTCTTCTTTTACTGGTTACTGCCGTCTCGATTACAGATAGGAGACACAGTGCAGCTCTTCTCCACAGGTTACTAGGATAACAGTAGATAAGATAAAACATCTCATGTGGTTTAATTTGTTGTCCATTTATCCTAGTGAAACGAATCTGTACTGTTTATCGATTCGATACCAATATATTCAGCCATACGGATATGTTTCTGTGTGAGTTACTTCAACTTCGTTGACGTGCATGTGGTCTCGAAACTGATGTTGTTTGTAGTCGTTCGGTAAACTAGTGGAAATGATTATAACAGTATAAACATTTCAAGGTGTTTAAATGACCTTGGTAATGTCATTTGAGATTATAAATGATTTTGTAAAGCGAGAATGGCTGCAAACTAGCACAGATCACTGGACAACTATTTCCCTCTAGTTTTGGGGCCCTTCAGCATTTTACCTCTACTACCACACCAGGAGCCCACAGGAAAACCAGCATGTTGATTTTCAGACCACGTGATTTAATAGTAACAAGCATGGTTTTGTATTCTGAAGGTCATGGGTTAGACCGCAGATAGAGTCCTGAATGTACACTGCTTAAGAGTCACACATTACAACGAAAAAACTATCCAGTGCTCCCTGGTTTTCGATGGTTCCCTGAATATTGTTGGATCATGACGAACTACATAATATACCTATATTTTCTTTTCACCTGATCCATTAATCGACGCTTGTTGAAACCAAATACGAAAATTGCAAATTTCATGGAATAATTAGTTGTAGCGCCGAGTCAAACTGCATCGTTTTAAAATTATTTAGGTATATTCATCAAGGGTTGAGCAATTTTAAACGAGATTTTTCCTCTATGACCGTTTTACCATCTAGGTAACAGTTTCTTCAGCAGTTAGATCACTCACACTCTATTGATCACCAAAACGTGGAGAAAATCAATGGAATTCCCACAAAACACAACATTTGAAAAAGTTATCTCGTGATTGACTGTTATATGAAGTTGTGACTGAAGTTACTGTGATGAGAATTTGTCACCAACAAGCTGCATCAAGTTCGGTCTCTTATCAAAAAAGGACAGATACTAGCCGACGACACTGGCCGGTGGTTGCGTTATGTCTCTCAAACTGGGAGAATTAAGAAATTGTAAGAGTTCTACTACGGCTTAGAGTGGACCTATACTCTAAACACCCTTACAAACTTCTTCACCGTTTTGGCGACCTACTAAGCTTAGCAGTACACTACTGGACGCGCAAATACTGACGAACTGTATCGTTGTAAAAAGACTTGATGTGACAAGAGTACCTGGGAGAATTATATTTTATTCGACGAAATATAAAATTCAATAAATAAAGAAGTCGTACAACTTATCTGCAGACGTTGCTGGAGGTAGGCTCGGAGAGTGTGCAGAAGGAGAGCACAACAAGAGAGCGAACCTATGAACGTAAGGAAGACTCACAAGTCAAAAGGTAAAACGTGGATCACCGTGGGTGAGTCAGTTTAAACAAAAGTTCAAAGGTACAATGTGCACTACAGGTTATCCCCCCCTAGAAGGTTGGTGGGAAACCAGCAAGCTTCGATATACAACAGTAGGATGGCTTGGCACAGTAGCAATGGGTGAATGAGAAGGTTTGAAAATAGCAATAGTAAAAAAAAGAAATTTCACCGAAAGGAAAGAAAGCAAAAGAAAAGAGAAAAAAATTAAGATAAGTTGGAAGTGGTATGTACATGATTAGTGAAGTAAGACGGAATATGATAAGAAATGGCGCTGGTGCCTTGTGTGGTTGTAAGCTTCTGCGGTCTGATGTTTTTTTTTTTTTTTTTTTTTTTGTCTTTCATATTTTTATTAATCTTTTTTTTATTTATTTTTTTATTGTATCGATTCATTCTTTTTTTTTTTAATTCCGCACTATTACAAGCTTACTTATGTGGAGGTTTGATGGTAAACCTCTGGCGCCGAGGCTGTCGTAGCAAGAAGGTGATTCATTATGTCTAACTTTCATATTAGACCAATGCTCCCTTCCTCCGCTTCAACAGAACCTAGCAGTCATGTTAAAGGCAATCATTATACCAGCGTATGATAAGGAGCAGGGTAAAAAAAAAACAGAAGAAAATGGGAAAGAAAGGTTAAGATTTCAAAATCGGTGTAAAGGTACTACAAAAGCTTGTGCGAAATCAATGCGAGGAAAAGTGGTGCAACTTGGAAGTAGTACGTTAGAATGAGATAAAACAAAGGAAGTTTCTACCCTGTGAGAACTTATAAAATTACAGAGAAGTTAGTACATAACCCATAGCTATGAGTAGTTATCATTACCAAAATTACTTTGTTCATGTTGCTAAGTGCATAACTAAGATGATGCATAATGTTTATAAGTACGGTTCACAAAATAAATGAATTGCGGGAGGGCATAAACCCGAAGGAATATAGTACAGGCTGTGAAAATAAATTGAGCGAATTACTATGTACAGCATAGAAGTGAAGCATTTATGCGCAAAAAAAAAATGTATATCTGTCCATTTAACTATACAGTGGAAGTTTTTTTTTTGTTTTTTTTATAATCTTTTTTTTTTTAAAAATAATTTTTTTTGTTTATTTATTATTATTTTACATTTTTTTTTACTTTTTTTTTTAAATATATTTTATAAAATTTTTTTTTTTACATAATAATTAAATTTTTTTTTGGAAAGGTAATATACTATTCATAATTCCTCTTTTGGTGTGGGTTACAAGATGACATGAGACGCCAACTGATCTAGCGAGTAGATTGATATGAAAAATTAGGGGTAAAAACAAACTGCTGCTGGTCCTCTGTAACGAGAGATAAAGATTAAAAGGATTAGTGAGGGTTAAAACGACTACTCCCAGAAGCGGGACCAAATAGATTAAATATAGCAGAATTGAATAAGAAATTGTGACAAGGAATAAAAAATCACTAGTAGCCTTACCTATGGATTAGTTCAGTGAAAGAATTCTACGAACCTCTTGGGCCAGTGAACACGTCGACCAGCACGTGTGACAGGGGTCTTACTGGTGACGGTAGGAGAATCATCATTCACCACCGGAGGTGAAGTAGTTGAGTCTGGACAAGGACTAGGTTCAGTGGGGCTATTTGATTGAGCCGATGGGGAGGGTGAAGGTTCTTCAGTGTATGCCGCTTTAAGTCTGTCTATGCTGACAGTGTCTGGGCGGCCGCATCGGTCAATAACGAAAAATTTATCTTTACGACTAAGGACCTTAAAAGGCCCGTCATACGGTGGTTGTAATGGCTTTCGTATGGCGTCGTGACGCACGAAAACGTGTGTACAGTCATCAAGTCGCCGATCAACCTGAACCTTTCGGTTCTGAGCGCGTGTGGAAACTGGTCGGAGTCGCTGCATAAAACTTTTAAGTTGCTGAGCGTAACGGGTGGTATCCGGGAAATTTGGCTCGAAAGTTTCGGGAGCGATTAGCTCGCCTGGTAAACGCATGGTGGTACCGTACACCAATTCAGCTGGCGAGCACTGCAGATCCCCCTTAAGCGTAGCCCGGATGCTAAGCAGGACCAGTGGTAGCGAATCTGTCCACTTACTGTTGTCCACTGCCATCAACGCAGCTTTGAGTTGACGGTGGAAACGTTCTACTAGGCCATTTGCCGCGGGATGATACGCGGTTGTGCGAATGCGTTTGCATCCCAGCATCTCTAACAATTCTTTGAAGCTTGTGGATTCAAACTGTTGTCCGCGGTCGGTAGTGACAGTTGCGGGACATCCAAAATGGGCAACCCAGCCATCCATGAAGGCACGACAGACGGTTTGAGCCGTTACATCAGGTATCGGAATGGCTTCCGGCCAACGTGTGAAACGATCCACACATGTGAGTAAATACGAGCAGCCGTTAGACGGGGGCAGAGGCCCTACTATATCCAGGTGGATATGATGGAACCGAGCGTCTGGGGTCGCAAACGTCCCCAACGGCGTGATGTTATGCTTGGTGACTTTAGCACGTTGGCATTGCACACAAGCACGTGTCCATTGACGCACATCACGGTTCATACCGGGCCACGCAAATCTCGCAGAAATCAACTTGTCCGTTGCTCGTATGCCAGGATGGGAGAGGTTGTGGAGTGACTCAAACACAGTTCGGCGTAAAGACGTGGGAACAATCGGTCGAGGAGTACCAGTTGACATATCGCAAAGTATAGTTGCCTCACTGTTTAGCAAGGGGACGCGTTCTATTTTCAGTGAGGTTTTATTTGACAGGTGTTCTAAGTTCAAATCGTTCAGTTGGAGTTCGGCCATTTTATGAAGATCGATGGTTGGTGGTACGGACGTAGCACATACGCGAGACAAAGCGTCTGCTACCGCGTTATCCGATCCAGAAACGTGCTGGATATCAGAAGTGAACTGGGAAATATAGTCTAAATGGCGTGATTCTCGCGGTGAATACCGGTCTGAAGTAGTGTGGAGGGCGTACGTCAATGGCTTATGGTCGGTAAATACCGTAAATTGCCGGCCTTCCACGAAGTGACGAAAATGCTTGACAGCAGCGTAGACAGCGAGAAGTTCCCTACCGAATGTGCTGTATCGAGATTCGCATGCGGTAAGTTTACGTGAAAAGAAAGCAATCGGTAGCCATACATTAGCCATACGCTGTTGAAGGACGGCTCCGATCGCAGTATTAGAGGCATCTACGGAGATGCTGATTGGAAGTTGAACATCTAGATGGACCAACATTGTGGCGTCAGCAATAGCTTTCTTGATAGCTGCAAAAGCTGTCGAGGCTTCCTTAGTGAACACCAAAGACTTGCATTTCCCTTTAAGCATGTCAGTCAAGGGGGTCACGATATGAGCACACTGTGGGATAAAGCGACGGTAGTAACTAACCATCCCGAGAAAGGTGCGTAGTGCCTTGGGAGAAGTGGGTAGAGGGAAGTTTTGAATAGCTTCTACCCGGTCAGGTAACGGATAAATTCCATCTTTGTCTATCCTATGTCCCAAAAATTTCAGGGAAGTGGCTCCAATCTGACACTTCGGCAAGTTGAGTGTGAGGGAGTGTGTCACAAGTCTTTGGAAAACTGTCTGCAAATGAAGTTGATGAGTGGCTTCATCTGGACTAGCTACCAAGATATCGTCCAGATAGGCGAAGGCGAAATCAAGCCCGCGCAAAACGTCATGTATAAAACGCTGGAAGGTTTGTGCAGCGTTCCGTAAGCCAAAAGGCATTCGAAGAAACTCGAACAGGCCAAACGGTGTAATCACAGCAGTCTTAGGTATATCTTCGGGGTCGACGGGAATCTGGTAGTAAGCCCGTGTAAGGTCCAGTTTGCTGAATACTCGAGCTCCCTTGAGTGAGGCGGTTAAATCGTGTATGTGCGGGACAGGGTAGCGATCGGGAACAGTTTGTGCGTTTAGTCTGCGGTAGTCGCCACAAGGACGCCAATCTAAACCGTTATTCTTAGGTACCAGGTGCAACGGTGAGGACCACGGGCTGCTGGATGGCCTAATAATCCCCATTTCCAGCATATGCTCAAACTCCGCTTTGACAACCTTTAGTTTTTCTGGGGATAGTCGCCTCGGCTTTGCGAAAACTGGCGGGCCAGTAGTGACAATATGGTGTTTGACGTTGGAAGTCGCACATGGCAGGCCGCTGCTAGGTTTGAACAAATCTGAAAAAGACTGCAGTATATGCGAATAAGGACCAGTGCTAGTGGGTGTGGCATATACCGGGCTGAGGGCTGGGCCTTGTGTGACAATACCGCTGACGGAGAGGTTTGTGACAGGATCTTTTAACTTATGATTACCTGTATCTACCAGTAATTGGTAGTGCTGCAATAGATCCATGCCAATTATACCTGTGGTAACGTCTGCCACCAGGAAGACCCAACGAAGTGAACGACGCAAACCGATGTTAAGATCTATAAAGCGCCTGCCGAACGTAGCAATTGGCGAACCGTTTGCGGCTCGTAGTTGAAGAGACATTGGCCGCCTGCGCTCCTCTACTGTGGGTGGGATTACACTGACCTCTGCTCCGGTATCAATTAGGAAGCGTATCCCAGTGTTACGGTCGGTAACATAGAAGAGGCGACATGAGAGTGGTTCGCCAGCGACGTTAGTCGCCAGTACGTGCTGGCTTGCTAGTTTCCCGACTGTTGAACATCGAAGGTGCACGGGCGAGTGCACTTTTGGGCTTTTGCTCCGTAACGTCGATGATACCAGCACACTCCAGGCTGGTTACTTCGGGACTGTCGGCGCTTGCTGCTAGCACGTGGCAAGGGTCTGCTACTGCGCGAACTTGAGGGACTGCGTCCACGACTCCTGGAGTTCATCTCCTGTCGGATACTACAGATCTCCTCGTATAGCTTGGCAATATGGGCCACCACGTCAAAGCTTGATGACCCCCCATCAGCCATCTTGCACACAGGACACAGTATTAACAAGGTGATAAAAAAAACAATATAAGTACAAAGAAAACAAATCAAATCTTTATATCCGTGCGTGAAAAAGAAAAAAAATAACAAAATAAACGATACGTAAAGAGAATTGTTAACACGTTAAGCTATGGCGGAAAACGGTGGAAACGGGCTCACCACTTGTAAGAGTTCTACTACGGCTTAGAGTGGACCTATACTCTAAACACCCTTACAAACTTCTTCACCGTTTTGGCGACCTACTAAGCTTAGCAGTACACTACTGGACGCGCAAATACTGACGAACTGTATCGTTGTAAAAAGACTTGATGTGACAAGAGTACCTGGGAGAATTATATTTTATTCGACGAAATATAAAATTCAATAAATAAAGAAGTCGTACAACTTATCTGCAGACGTTGCTGGAGGTAGGCTCGGAGAGTGTGCAGAAGGAGAGCACAACAAGAGAGCGAACCTATGAACGTAAGGAAGACTCACAAGTCAAAAGGTAAAACGTGGATCACCGTGGGTGAGTCAGTTTAAACAAAAGTTCAAAGGTACAATGTGCACTACAAAATCATGGGGTTGGCGACTGGTTACCATCCCAGTGTGGTGAGAGCAGGCTGCTAGCCGATTGGTTGACACTAATCTACGTTAATGTCTAGGTCACTTTTTTTTTTTTTTTTTTAATATGAACAAGGCTGTTTCAACAACCAATCACAGCAAACTTAAATGTGGACAAATATGATTCGCAGATAGATGGCTCTACTTTCCGAGAAATATTGAAAACAACCAATCATAAGACTGTGTTTGTTTTTTTTTTTTTTTTTTTTTTTTTTTTTTTTTTTTTTTTTTTTTCTGCTTGCATAAGCCTTATTAATGCACATAAAATATATATAAATACGTGTTGATTTTCGTAATAAAAGGATCTGTTGCCAGCCCTTGTCCTCTGTTGTTACATTTGGTGTCGCTGCCTCCAAAAAGATGAAGATCCCGTGGCCAGCTGCGTTTGAAGAAGGAGCCATACGGAGCTTCTTACGTGACTTCGAGGCCGTTGCTGAGCTGGTGGGTGTCAAGGAGCAGGCGGCGAAGGCAGTTGTCCTGGGGACGCTGTTGAGAGGCCGAGCGAAGGCTGCATATGACAGCGTAGACAGGTCAAATGGCACAGCGTCTTGGAAGAAATTGGTTGAACGACTAGTGTCCGAGTTTGACAGCGAAACAGACAGACAGCTAGCAATGCAGCAGTTCCGGTCAATGAAGCTTGGACCTGATGGAGACCCGCTAGTGTTGGCGGTGAAACTGACTAATCTACTTCGACGCGCGCTTCCCACTTTAGATGAAGAATCAGAAGCGCAGTTACTGTCTTCCCAATTCATCGAGAGTGTCCCAGACCACATTTCTCAGCGATTACAACTGGTTAACGCAACGCAGCCGATGGATATTAGTGAGCTGGCGAAGGTGACCAGACAGCTGCTGAGCACAACGGTAGCCGCTATAGACCAACCAAAACCAAACGAATATGAGCAGAAAATTGAAGCATTGCAGCGGGAAGTGGCGGCGTTAAAGTTGGCTGATAGAAAAGACCGGTGTTTTGAATGCGGTAAGCCGGGACACTGGAGAAGATACTGCCCAGAAAGGCGAAAAAGAAAAAATTTCAGACGGTATAATGCTTGTTCTTTCTTTCGTATGAACCTAGATTTAGTGGGGGCTATTGAGAAAGGGCTCTGTATTCGAAGTTGCGAGTGAATGATCGAGAAGTAGTATGTTTGATAGATACAGGGGCGGCCGTGTCGTTAATAGATAAGAATTTATGTAAGAGTGTTAGTCCGTGTTCATTGACAGTACAAACAGTAGGCGGGTATGTGTTGCGTATCACGGGTAGATCGAACTGTACGGTCGTTGTTGGTGGCTGCGAGGTGACGTTTCCTTTCATTGTTGTACCCGAACTACAGCGAACGATATTAGGAGCGGATTTTCTGCGTGAGATTGGTGCAATAATCGACACGCAAGCGAACGTGGTGATCACGAAATACGGGCATATCAACATGTATGAGACCAGCGAGATAGCAGCGATTAAGCTGTCGACGGTACACAATGTGACAGAGTTAATTAATAAATACGATCATCTGTTCACTGGAGATGGAGACCCATACGGTTATTGCGATAAGGTGAATCATGAAATTCCGTTAAGTGATCCGAAAGTAAGGTCATTTACAACGCGAAGAGTTCCATGTCATCTGGAAGGCGAAGTGGAGCGACAAGTGCAAGAGATGTTAAAAGATGATACAATTGAGGAAGCTGATAGCCCGTACAACTCTCCAGTGCTGTTAGTAAAAAAAGCGAATGGGAAGTATAGATTCTGTGTTGATTTTCGACAGTTAAACAGTATGACAGAGTTAAGACCGTGTGCCATGCCAACAGTGGTAGAAACCTTAGATCGCCTACAAGGTGCGAATGTGTTTTCGGTTCTCGATCTTCGCTCAGGATACTGGCAGATACCGATAAAACAAGGTGATAGAGATAAGACGGCTTTCATCGTGGGTCAGACACAATATCGATTTAAACGCATGCCGTTTGGACTAGCAGGTGCACCGTTTACGTTCAGACGACTGATGAAGCTATTACTTAGGAACTTGAAAAACGTGGAGGTTTATGGTGATGATCTCGTCATATACAGTCAAAACGAAAACGATCACGTCAACCATGTAGAAGCCGTGCTGCGACGCATCGAAGAGTTTGGACTACGCGTCAACAAAACCAAGTCTCAGATAGCCAAAAAGAATGTTACTCTGTTGGGACATAAAGTGGGAAATGGTGAGATTAAACCACTGCCGGAGAAAATTTTGACGATTAAAACGATTCCAGCCCCGAATTCAAAGAGAAAACTGAGACAATTCTTGGGTAGAGCAGCGTTTTATAGTCGCTTCGTGAAGAACTTCAATGAGATAGCAGCCCCTCTATACAGGCTACTAGGTGAGCCAAAGTTTGTTTGGTCGGAAGAATCGCAGAGGACATTCGACAGAATTAAACAGCTGCTCGACCACCAACAAATGACGCTAAAACTACCTGTGCCAGGAAGACAGTTCACAGTGTGCACAGATGCCAGTGACTACGCTATAGGTGCGGTCCTAAGACAGGACGAGGGAATCGTTGAGTATGCCAGTAGGGTTTTGACCCTCACAGAGAGAAAGTATTCAACGATAGAGAAAGAATGTTTAGCAATGGTATGGGCAGTCGACAAATGGAGACCTTATTTACTCGGCCGGCGGTTCCACATCGAAACTGATCATAAGCCGCTACAATTTTTGAAGACAGCGAGAGACCCACGGGGGAAGTTGTCACGGTGGATGTTGCGTCTTCAGGAGTACGATTTTACGATCTCACACGTTCCTGGAAGTGAAAATGTCTTGGCAGATTTGTTATCGAGACCAGAAGATGAGTCTGAGTTGCCCGAGGTCGCTTACGGAGTGCATGCAGTAGAACAAGACCCACTAAGACTTGCACGTAGGCAGAGGTTGGACGATACGCTGAATACAGTAATACAGGTGATCACCAACGGAATAGAAGTGGATCAAACTACGGCGAGTAAGGAGCTAACCACACTACTCAGACAGAGGGATCGACTCAGAGTGAATGCCTACGGGACTCTGACCTGGCGAGAGAACGACGGAAGCTGGCTGGCTGTCATACCTCAATCGTCGCGCCACGACATGATAGAAGAATGTCACCAGCTAGCGCATACAGGCGTGGCCAGAACGACCGACCTCCTAAGACAAAGTATGTACTGGCCAGGTATGAGAGAAGACGTAGCAAGATACGTACTTGGATGTCCACGGTGCCAGCTGATGAAAGGTGACCGGTATATACGACCACCACTTCAGTCGATTCCAGTTACCGCGATAGGTGACTTGTGGTCCGTAGATGTCATGGGTCCATTTCCTCAGACATCCAATGGTAATCAGTACCTCTTGGTGATGACGGAACACGCGACACGATGGGTAGACGCCGTAGCAATCCCAGACCAACGTGCAAGAACCGTGACAGATGCAGTAGTTAGACACATTGTTGCAGACCACGGCGTACCGAAGACAATACTGACAGACCAAGGTCCCTGTTTCGAGAGTGAAGAGTTTACTTCCCGTTTGCAACAGCTGGGCATCAAGAGGATCAGAACGACCCCATACCATCCACAAACGAATGGCCTAACGGAGAGAAACAACCGTACACTGAAGGAGTGGCTGGCCTCGAAGGGCGGGAACTGGGAAACGGAGCTTCCACTGATTTTACTAACACATCGGGCTACCACTCAGGAAACAACGAAGAAGTCACCCTTCCAACTGATGTATGGTAGAAAACCACGATTACCGGTACACAATGAGACCTGGCCCATGCACCAAAAGTGGAGTACGACGAAATTAAAAGCAGAGAGGAAAGAGGCAGTCAAGAATGTAATACGGAAGCAGCGCAGTGATGTCACGAAGTCTCAGATGAAAGAAAGGACGCAGTGCATTACCTTTGCAGTCGGGGACCAAGTGAAGTGTAGAGACAGGAGATATACAGTTGGAGGCGGGCTAGGTTCACGGAAACTCCTTCCAAAGTGGGAAGGACCATACACAATCACAAAAAGACGGGGTCAAGTATATACCATCCGAAGAGGTGATAAACAGAAACGAGTTAACGCCAGTCAGCTCCAAAGATGGGTACAGTGGGACAAGCCGGTCAGTAACAATCCTCAACTAGAGGATGTAGCACCCAGAAGGTCGGAACGTCTGCGCACGAAGCTATTTGACGGGGGGACGAGTGTGGTGAGAGCAGGCTGCTAGCCGATTGGTTGGCACTAATCTACGTTAATGTCTAGGTCACTAATATGGGCCGTGAGAAAATATGAACAAGGCTGTTTCAACAACCAATCACAGCAAACTTAAATGTGGACAAATATGATTCGCAGATAGATGGCTCTACTTTCCGAGAAATATCGAAAACAACCAATCATAAGACTGTGTTTGTCTGCTTAACTTCCGAGAAACAACCAATCAGAAGACTGCCTTTTTCTGCTTGCATAAGCCTTATTAATGCACATAAAATATATATAAATACGTGTTGATTTTCGTAATAAAACGATCTGTTGCCAGCCCTTGTCCTCTGTTGTTACACCAGCGATCCAGTGTTATAGGCGGACCTTCTTTGTAACCTGAAGCTGTTGGATTCGATCTCTGGAGATCGGTTGATGTTTGCATACTTCTGAAAAAGTCTGAACTAAAAAGAAGCAACTATCCTGTCAAAGTTGACCTTGTACCATATAAAGACAAGACATTTCTTTTCATAGTTTACTTGATATTTTAATTTTCATTGTTTCCAGGAAGATATTCAAACCAGTATGCATGGCGAAACGCTAGAATTACTTATCTCAAGTTTACTGAGACTGGCACAACTAATACAATGATAAGTTAACAGTACATATGATGAGTGAAATCATGTTTATTCAGTCTTGGGAAAGTAGAAGAATAGTGGTTCAAGCGAATGAGCAAACAAACGGTCGTGAAATGACTACTCAGTCTGAAGGAGTTGATTCGA